GTTACAATAAAGATCTGTGTACCTTTGTTGTTTGGATTTCTGATCTTCCTGGCTGGTGAAACTATCATTGTAATCTAGCTATCCAGATATCCCTTTTTGTGGATGAAGTACATTTACAGTTCAGTGCCAACTTCTATAAGGCTCTGTAAAGTGTGAGTTCAATTTACCTCACGTTTGCACTATTGTATATTCAGATTACACTATGATGTTTTGTATGTTTATATTATACAGAATTCATTTACGAGTCTATTCTGTTAAAGATAGACTGAAAAGGTAAAAGTAATCTTTGAGTGCGCTAACACCTTTTTCATTTTGTGGTATACTCACCAGAGTATACAATGAGCTGTAGTTGTTCTGGTGACTATAGTGTCCATTTAAATGTCATAACTATCCTTTTGTTGATTTATTTATGGGGTGAGGGGGGAATTAGGGACATTATCGGAGATCAGGACAAAGAAACTAGACTAAAAAGAGAACTTCCCATTCAAGAGCTTAGGCATTTAGCACTCTTTTTCATTGAATCATTTAATGCAGAAAGCTTTGCATAAAGCTCTATATGGTTAAATCAAGTTAACATTTTCTGCTACTTTTTAGGTCACACAAATAGGACCATTTTGAACTTTTCCCATTTCTTAATGCCAGGTGCATATTTTAATACATTTTGAGTATGTTTGTAAAATTATATATTATATCATTGCATTTATTTTGTTATTCTTGAAAGTCCATACATTCAAATCACTAGTCTGAGAAGAGCTAAAGATCTATAGTTGACATAGAAGCCAGAGTAAGACAGTAAACAAGATCACATCATCTGTGCTGATAAGTACTGCATCTGATTTGATTAGATTGTATTGCAACTCTCTATTTTATAGTGTATGTTTTATCTTTGCTAAAATGCAATCTGTAATTAGTTACAAGTTAGATATTCTAAACAACAATACATTTTTAAAGAATGCAGGAATATAGTATGAAAATGTAGAGTAAGCAAGATATTAGGTTAAAACTATTGAGGTTTCTAACTTTCATAAGGGTAGGTTTGTTTGAAACAATGATTGGAAAGAGCCAGATGGCTCTATTTACTATGTTATAAGAGCTTTGACTATATGTTTTTTTTTCACTTATGCATTTAATGATCTTACCATGTTCTCTCGCAGTGCTCCTTTGGAAGCACAAAGCATGCCTTCGGGAAATTATCTATTTCTCATATTCTTTTCCCTTCTTTTCTCTACCATACTCCCCTGATCCTGTCCTACCCCTTGCCTAACAGTCATCCAATGCTACAGCATGGCAAAAATCACTTCCTAGATGACTGAGCGGAGACCCCCCAAGAACCGAGGAGACCACCCGTATGACTTACAGGGAAAACCCGGATAAAGTTTAGGGACATAGACCGACTATAATCTTGATCCATAGAGAATAATACCTAAAAAGAAAAACACACGCTCGCCTGATGGAGTGAAATAAATAAATACAGGACCTAACTGACTCTAATAAAACTAAACCGAATCCCAATACGCTCCTGGCAATGAAGAAGGTCCAATAAGTGATAAAAGAAGAAAACATAAAAATAGTGGGCCTCCAAATGAGGAAACTAGGTCCCAGTACTCTCAAGGCAATAAAGCAAGCAAACTACTAGCCAACCGACTGAAGCAAAAACTCAGAGCAGAAAAAAATTCTCACATTATGTTAAGCACAGGACACAAAGTTTAAGTTCCCAGGAATATAAGCAAGGCATTTGCATCATACTATATAAATTAAAAGGGGTCCCCCAACACTAATCAACCATCTCACCCTGCAGTGAAGGCATATTTATGAGACATGAGCCAACCAAAAAAGGATTACCACTTCATAAAGCCCATTGCGGGTGAAACGTGTTATGGACCTATTTTACTATTATTTTTTGTCATAATAAAAGGTTTTGGTAATTTTTCCCATACATATATGTACCATATACCTTTCCTTATATTGTTACCTGGCATCCTGATTTGAACTCTCCAGTGAGGACCTCACCAATCCTCCCACCTATGCTGATTATACTAAGCAGGCTATTTGCTCAGGTAAATGTTAGTATAACCAACTTATGGTTCAATATATTTTAAGGAGAGAGCACTATTGTTGCACTTTTTTATTTTCACATATATCCTGCTGCTAAGACATCTGCTGGTTAATACCTCCCATCGATTTGTGCAATTTCCCATTTACTTATTATTTATTTTGTGAAATTTATAAAATATAT